TGCTTATTGTATTTATATCTCCATCCACTTTGGCAGCAACGCATTCGGGAACCCATGCGCTCATGAAGATTCTCGATCTTGCGACATCCAATCCTCAGGGGCCATCAATATTGACCAAGTTGGGACAGTTTCAGGTTGGGATGTATATGGGCTTGACACATCAATGATATTCTAGTGAGATGGTACAAGCATGGTTGAATCAATGCCATGTAGTGCAAACCCAATCTTTTAGAAATAGCATGCGTTCATCGAAATTTAATTGGGGTTGAATTTCATCCATAATGAATTTACAAGGATTTTGGCTCTGACAGGTTTGCGCAGTGGATCAGTGGATCGCTTGTTTAGCCCCGATCATGATCCTATCGCCCCCATGTTTAACTTTCTCTGCGCCGTGTCAGTCACGGCCCCTGGCAGCATGGAAGACTTGGTGGGACCCTGAATTGCCAAAGGCCATAGCTGAGTCCCTCAATTCCCATATCGACCCATTGCAGCTTCCAGGGAAGGGGTGTTTGCTGGCAAATTCACATTTCAATGGAAATTCGCTGAAAGATCCCCATACAGCGAATGTCAGTGAAGCCCTGCTCTTAAAGTACCCTGAAAACCGGCAGCCATCGGGGTATCTTTTGGGAGACTCAGTGATGCACCTCGATGTGTTGTGGAATGGCTCACTTCTAGGAGGTGTTCAAAATTCACCCCTCAAAGAAAACAAGAGAAGAGAGAACGCATTGGGGGAAGGTGGCAAATTAAAGAAGTTGCTATCTTATGTGCGTTCTTTGGCATTGAAATCCGAGAATGGCAAGTCCCAGAGATTACATATTTGAAGGGCCTAGCGAACCAACGGCGTCGGGAGAAAACAACATCGCCGGCATCACCAAGTGCTAGCAGCCCCAGAAGTTTCTATAGCGGGACCACGATGGTTTTGGGGTACCTAGACTCACATTCAGGAAGCCTTATATATTTGTTGGATTTTTTTTAGTGTTTAAATACAACAAGGTAGGTGGCAATAAAATCATTCAATAAACGCACTATCAGTTGTATACGTTTGGATTGTTTATTGGGCCAAAAAAGTCTGAGCAGGCCCCATCTGGTGGTGATCTAAGGCAAGATGCAGACGAGTCTCCACAGAGCATCGAGAGTGACAACGGCAATGAAATCTTTGAGCAGACGATGGCGCTCCTTGGGTTGCCCAGCTGCATGTCACAGGCTGCAAGGAATGGGATGACACATGGTATACCTCTACAAGGGAAAGGAAAGAAGTTGGAATAAGGTTAGCAAAGTGGGAATAAGCCAACCATATGTTTTGATTCGATGGTTTATAGCACCCAGGTAATGTAGTTGCTTTACCAACACTACCTTGTTTGCCCAGGCTTGATCCTAACCAGCCCTGCAGCCAGTTGCACTTGGCAGAGTTTGCTGAACAAGAGCTTGGGTCTGATTGTGCATATCTCAAGGGCTGGGCCAAAGGCGGAAGCCCAACCACACCGGATGTTCCAATGAACTCGGCTCCGCCCAAGGACCAAGTTAATGAAACATGACACAATATAGATGAATAATATTGGTGATATATTTCCTGAAGGAAAATGTTGTCTTTGGTTGATCTAAACACATGCATTCCTGAAGGAGTTGGATCGCGTCTTCAAGACTGAACCTCTTGCGGCGCCTGTTCGCCCAGACATGTTGGTTGAGCTACCGAAGCCCGATGATGCCACTGCGGCAAACCCCCGTGATCAGCACCTCTTGATCGAAACTCATCTTGGTGAGTTTAGTTCCCCCAAGCCCCTCCAACTGCAAAAACTATATGGGGTGCTAATGTTGGATTGATAACATGTACTGATCAAAAGCCATTGTTTCCAGTCCAGGCTTCCAGACAAGGTGCATGGGTCTTTAGAATGTAGGAAGTTATATCAATAGTTTTATTAACGGATGTCTGGGAAACTTATTGCATGTCTGATTTACCAGAATCTTATTCACATGATCGACACCCTTTACTAACAGTTATGTATAGTTATGTCATGTCGTCCAAAATTTCCCTCTAAACACAATACCAAGAATCATCACGACTCCCGGTGTTTGAGGACTCCAGGAAGCGATCTCGATGTGAAGATGCAGCACCTGTAGAAGCAGGGACCGGAGAGCCAGCCCCTAGCCCAAAGTCTGGATACTTGCATATTGTTCAAAATATCAAGTGTATATCCAAGATAAATGTTTCGTAGCCATGCTTTCGACATGAGGCTGCAAAATCTTTGAAGCCCGGTTCGGAGACACCTTCCCCATCAGTGCCTTGGCTCACCCTGTGGTGGCATTTTGGAAGAGTTGTAAACTGGTATATGTAGAATCTAGAGGGCAACCAAAAGCGTTCAATGTGTGTGTGACAGTGTTCCTGTTGTTTCAGCCCAACATGAGTCAGCTTCCCATGCATCGGCCTTTGGTGAGGCAACTTCGTCGGGAGCAAGTGACCTTGGTGCCATTGATGGTGCTTTGCCAATTCCCCCAGGTCAGGACTTGGGACACATAGCTACGAATCCACCATGTTAAAGAGATACACCCACATTCTGGTGTTTGATTCTGTTGGGGAATAACCCTGAATCTATGTTCATAAACCCTGGTAATCCTCCAAATCAACCTGGGAGGCATGCCTGCATGTGCACTTCCGCAGAGCTTTCGCAAAGGGAAGTTATCTTATACCATCTCTAGCACCAATACTAAAGCTCGAATCGAAGTCCTCCTCAAGCAGCGTGCATTTCGCATCGTGAAGATTGGGGAGAAAGATGGCTGCTATGGCCAAGAACAAAATGGTTTTAAGGGTTTTGTTTTACCGCTAAAAGTGCTGGGGTGAATCAGCTATCTACCAATAATCATATTCTGGTTTCAAAAAAAAGACAACACTGGAATTCACACAGCACCCAAAGTCCAGACTTTTATCTACTTTTAACATGTATGAGTGGCCCGGCTTTTATCTACTTTTCAATATCGAAGATTTGGATTCCCCACATGACACCCCTATGTTTCCCTAAGGAAAGCAAGTGTGCGAGAAGCCACCTGTGGCACAGAGACCTTGGATGGGAAACATTCAGAACGCTTGGGACGAAATTTGCAAGGATGCTGGCTGGTCTTGAAATGTTTTGCAGTCTATAGAGCTACTTAGGATTTAGGTCTTGAAATGTCAAATTTAAGTGGGCGTGTCCCATGCTTAAGCAAAAGCGTGGAAATTCATGAACATGCTGGGTACCGCTGCTAGCTGCGTTGATGGTGGGCGCAGTTGCTGTGAAAATTGATCGGCTGCGTGTCGGTTGTTTGTGGCTGGTTCGGTGTTGTGTCCTTGGTCGTTGCTCTCGCTTGCAGTTGTGCTTGTAGTTGGTGATTGAGTTGCGCTTGCTATTTTTTGTAGCTTTTTGAGCTGCTGCAACATCTGTGATCGCTAGCTTGGCTGATTGCTTTTGCCATGGTACTCCACCGCTTGAAGCCTGGAAAGGAAGAAATGAAGAAAACAACCAAAGCAATTGCCAAGACAAACAGGAACCTGAAGAAGGAGCAGGGTCATGAGAAGGATGATGCTAGCCTTGCCCGTCCAGTGGTTGGTATTGCCCGGTCCTTGACAAAGTCACGGCTTGGAAGTGCTGCTGCGGAACAGGTCACAGGTTGGGAAAAGGTTCTGCATGTGAATGTATATACATATGTGCCCTATCCCTTTGGATATATAATCTGTGTTTTTTTTGCCTGTCAGATGCGAAAGATGCTCATGCTCTTGGTTGCCGTGGATGCCCCTCGCATCCTGTTGCAGCTCACAAGCCTCATCTTCATGGCCAATGGGGCGATGAAGGAGGACATTGACATGTGTGAGTACTTTGCTGGGCAAATGGCTGTGGCTTGGCTGGTAGTGCCTATGCTTGCATGCTTTGCTAGTAGTGTTGGTGGGTTGTACTGCATATATATGCTTGCATGCTTTGCTAGTACTGTAGTGCTATGGTGGCCCCCTGTTTGTTTCACACACAGCTAGGTTACAAAGTGCTTCGCGCGGGCTGGGTTCAAGTCCGTGCCCTTTGAGATCAACCTGCAGGGGTCTGCTGGTGACATCCTGGACCCAATTGGGCTCCTCTTCATGGTTTAAGTTAAAAGATAGTTTTTATTTTCTCATCCGTAGTTGTGGCTTTAAGATGACTTTTAGTTTCTTACCCATTTGAGTATTTGAGTCTGTGGCTATCCTAGGTTCAGCGTCGCTCTGTGCATGGCGATGCGCATGAAGTTCAATTCCTTCTGCCAAATAGCTGCTGTGTGTAGCACGTGGGTGTTCCTGTCAAGATCCCAGTTACTCAGTATCAATTGAAATGAAAACATCTCCAAAAAGTGGTCTGGGTGCAAGGGGTGTGTTTAAAATGATATCCCCATAAATATCGGTGGGGCTCAGATAGTTTGCATACACAAACCTTATCACTGTTTCGGGGTGCAAAGTCTTGTTTAATGGAAATTTTCTCATCAAAAATGAATGGAGGTCAGATGGTGTGCATACAGAAACCTTATTACCATTTTGGGGTGCAAAGGCATATTTACATATCTATATTTTGGAGATACCCGCGCATATATATATATATATATATTTGTATGCAAGTGGGGATCAAGTGGTTTGCGCACACAAACCTTATTACTATCTATATCTTCTATATATCTATATTTTATTTATATATGTACACACATTCGACTCATGAGATATTTTACATGAACAAAATAAACGATGAAACCTTCCCTCTTGGGGTTGGTGTTGCCTCAGGACCAAGTGCTCCTTATGGAACCCGCTTGGGGACCGACGGGTCCGGGCTGTAGAGGATGCTAATGAACCTTAGCCAGTCAGTGGTAGGGTGGCGTGCACCTGTGTCGATAAGGGATCTCATAAGTAAACCCAATAAGTCAACCATGAATTGGTTTCCTCCCAAGAAAAAGACACCTTTTCCTGGGTTTTGGGTTGATTGGGTAGCCTTTTTGGAAATGGTACATGTGTGTTGTTTCCAAAAACAATGTGAGAAACATCCTAATCAATATAATCACATCAACCATCCATTATGTTAAATACAATGCTGGTGTACCATGTGCACAATGCACATACAATAGTGTTCGTGTACAATGCCTGGATCAAGGCCTTGAGCCTTCGGACAATAAAGCCAGAGAGAGAAAACAATACAGCGCGAGTGATCACACAATTGGGAAGAGACAATTGAGGACAGACACAATCAGGCAGTGACAATAGAGGAGATTGACAATTCGAACAGTGAAACTTTACATGGTAGCGGAGCAGTGATCCTGGTAACACAATCCAGGTGAGCTCCAATACCGCACATACAACACAAACACCACATCCACAAGAGAGGAGAAACAATTGCGCTGACGACAGGTCAGGCAACAACAAACAGCGCAACTGTACAAACACAACAACAAGCGCAAGAGGAAAGAGAACAGAGAAAACCGCGTAGGACAAAGCCTTGACCCCGACAATACGGTAGGTGAGCTCTGGCACAGTTTACAGTGGCAACAAGTACAGGAGCAACAGCCTCAGCAGCAGCGGCAGCTGCGACAACCACCACAAACACACAAGAAGACCTGACAAGCATCAGCAGGTACAAGCTAAAGCCACCATTCTACAATGGTGACTATGGAACATTTGAGGAATGGAAATACAAGTTCACTGCATACATGGGCCTGATGGACAATGTGTACACAAGGCTACTACAAGCATCAGAGACAGCAACAACAGAACTTACAGACGCACAACTGCGAGCTGCAGCAGACACAATTGAGGATGGAGAGAAGCACGTACAACTGGCAGCAGACATCAGGCACATCCTCATCAACATCACAACCAATTCAGCAGCAACTGTTTGCAGACAATTTCAACACAGCAATGGCTTTGAGATCTATCGACAACTCTGTCGTAGATTCTCAATTCCATTAGGCACAAGGTCAATTGGCTACTTGACCAAACTGCTGAAGCCAACATTCGACACAAACAATTTTGAAGAATCATTTGCAACATGGGAGTTCGAACTTTCGAGATTTGAACGAGACAATGGACAACAATTACCAGACTCAGTGAAGATAGCAGTGCTCCTCAACGAGACAACAGGACCACTACAACAACACCTACAACTCCTTTCAGGATCCAATCCTACTTACAGGCAAGTAAAAGACACAATCATCGAATACTACAGGTCAAACACAGCATTCACAAGATTGGCACAATCCTCGAGTGTGGCAACACACTATGGCGGAGGACAAGCGCCAATGGACATTGGAGCATTCCACAAAGGCAAAGGGAAGAACAAAGGGTACAAAGGAAAAGGAAAAGGAAACAAGGGTAAAGGAAAAGGCTACGGCAAACAAGGCTACGGTGCATACAAAGGAAAAAGAAAGCAAGGAGGAAAACAACAGCTTCCATGGCAAGGACAAGGATACCCCATTGGACAAGGAAAAGGACAAACGAACAATCAGTACAAAGGAGACAAAGGGAAAGGAAAAGGCAAGGTTAAAGGAAAACAAGTGGCCAACACATGCTACAGGTGTGGACAGCCAGGACACTATGCGCGCAATTGCAGAGTGTCAGTCTACAACGTAGCAGACAATGCTACATACAACGAGCAGTACGATGCGACATCACAATGGTATTCACAACATGATCACTACGACCCAAACTGGTATTCCAACGACTACACACAAGGTAGTCAGCCACCACAACATAACACACAACTTGCACTTCCCTCAGCACCAGCATCATCTGCAGAGATGGCAGCAATGAATCCACCACAAACAATCCATATAGTTTCAGGCATCGGCATGATGGTAGCAACAATGAATGAGGAGAAGGATGACAACAAGGAGGAACACGACACACAACAGGTGTCAACAATGAAAGGACACAAGACAGCACAAATCATGATTGACAGCGGTGCAGCGACACATGTCTGCCCACCTTGGTTCGCAGACAACTACCCCATACACAAGCTGGCACCAGGACAAGGACCACAGCTTAGAACAGTCACAAACAAAGAGATACAACTCCACGGAGTAAGATGGGTCTACATGCAATGTCAAGGACAACCAATCATCATACCGTTCTACGTGTGTGACGTGCATGATCCCATCCTGTCAGTAACAAGACTGGCAGAACAAGGTTTTGACATCAGGTTCAATGATGTCCCAACAATGACACACAACAAAGGTTTCAACGTACAACTGGTACAAAGGAACAACCTCTACTACCTTCCAGCAACAATCATACACCTCACTAAAGACATGCAACTTCAAATACAGAACACTGACAACGGCATGATAGCAATGATTGCCCCAACAACAATGACAACACAAGGATACGAACAAGTGCTTGGAGGAAGAAATGACTATTGGGCCTACAACAATGAAGGATATTTGGTGAGATTCCACAGAACAATGAGGAAGTCACTATTTATCCCAAAAGCCGACAACTGCCCTGTTCCCCTTGAACAACTTGACAATTTCAGGAGAACATTGATTCGAAGAAGAGACGGCAATGTAGAAGACATTACAGAAGCGTACAAAGATTTGCCGTTCAAAACGCGAAAGCGAAAAGTCAATGGACAACAATGGCAAGGAGAAAGTTGGTTCAAGGTGATCCAAACAGGCAGTTCAATGGTAAAGGCACCACCTCAACAGGACACAGCAAGGAAGTTCAACCCACAAGCACGTGGGAAACAAACACAGCAACCACCAACAACACCAACAACCAGGATGCAACGACACATTGGCAAACAGCCAGAATTGCCAAGGGTGTCACCTTCCATTCCACCACCACAAATTGCACAATCCAACAACGACTACTGGTATAGAGAAGGACATCTGTGGAAACGAGTCCACAATGTACCACGCACGGAACTCTATGTTCCACAGCAAGATGACGATGGCCCAAATGTGACAAGACTTTTACCAGCAAGGCAAACAATAATCAAGCCAACAAGTGAGGAGAGAGGATGTTTGTACGAGGATGATTGGACAAAAGCCGGAAACCAGCAATGGACTCGACAATGGACAGGATCAACGAATTTTGAAGAAGACATCAGCTACAAGTACGAGTACATTGAGGATGATGCGCAAGAGACACAACAGGCAACAAGAGCCAAAGCAATTCCAGCGCCAAAGCAACCAACACCACAAGAAAGGATGGAACACAATCTAACACACCTTCCTTACAGGACATGGTGTCCGATCTGCGCTAAGAGCAAAGGAAGAGCAGACAATCACCCACAACAGCAGCAACAAAGCAAGCAGCCAGTGGTACAAGCAGACTTCACATACATCAAAGCATATGGAGACAAACAAGTCGTACCTGTCTTGACCGCAATAGATGCAGAAACCGGCATGGCAATGGCCGTACAGGTACAAGACAAGTCACAGCAATTTCACTACCTGGTGAAATGCCTACAGACATTCTTGTATGAATGTGGCAGAGCACAAGCAATTCTGAGCCCAACAACTCTCCACTCAGATCAGGAAGACTACCTGATACAATTGCTGAAAGCTACAGCATCAGCAATGGGCGGAAACATAGCGGTGAGACAATCACCCACATACTCGTCACAATCACACGGCAGCGTGGAAAGATTCCACAGGACGCTTATGGGACAAGTGAGAGCGCTGGTCCAACAAGTGTCAACAAACTACGACATCCACATCACAAACAAGCATCCAATCCTGCCATGGATTGTACGACACGCAGTATACCTCCTCAATCGGTATGCTGTTCACAACGATGGACAAACAAGCTATCAACGAAGATGGGGAAAAGACCACAAGTCACCCCTTTGTGAAATTGGTGAGACAGTGCAATACCAACTTCCAACAATCAGAGTCTTACCAAAGCTTGAGCCAAGGTTCTACAATGGCATTTGGCTTGGAAGAGATACAATGACGAATGAGTCCATCATTGGGATCTCAGGAAAGATCATCAGGGTGAGAACAATCAGAAGACAAGTATACCCTGAAAAATACAACAAGCAATTGATGGACGTGATCAGTGCATACCCTTGGACAAGCCCAACGCCACCACAAACAATACAACCAGCAATGCTTCCACTTGCAAACCCAAAGGCAGCAAGCCATGCAATTGGAACACAGACAGCGGTTGGACAACAAGCAATGAGCACGCAGACTCCAGCGCAACAGTCACCACAGTTGCCGAGTCAAGCAATGGGTTCGCAACCAGCGGTGCCCACAAACCAGAGCACAGCAGCAACTTCACCAATGGCAACATCACCACCAACAGTTCCACGACAAGCACTACCAATGCCAGTACAACCACCACCACCAGCAAAAGCATCACCAACAAAGAGAACACAAGATGAAGCAACAGGAGAAGCAGAATCAAAACAAGCAAGAACACAACAAGAGCCCAAAGCCAAGGAAAGAACACAAGAGCCGAAGGCGACAAGACTTAGAATAGACTCAGTCACAATCACAACAAAGAAAGGTGAGAAGATCATCACGGCATCAAACGAGGACAATGAAGAGATCGAACATGAGAAGATGCTGTTAGAGCCACAAGTCTGGGACACAGACGGCTTGGACAAAGACCAGACAAAACAGGGCATGAAGAAAGAAGCAGAATCAATGAAGAAACAAGGTGTCTTCAAGGAAGTCGACATCAATGACGTTCCACAACAACATAGGAACAACATCATAGACTCACGATGGGTCTTACGACAAAAGGGCAATGAAGTCAGAGCCCGAATAGTGGCCAAAGGATTCACAGAAAGAATCAATGATCTGGACGACATCTACGCAAGCACACCAATTTTCCAGATCCTAAGAATCCTTTTGACAT